ACTTTGTAACTGTTCGAGATCTAGCAAAATCTACATTAAAAATACGCAGTTTATGAAACTTTCCGATCGCCTTTATTGCATTGCTCAGGATAGGTTGTTGCTGACAGTAAGAAGGAGGTTCTTCTAAGTCATGAAGGTTTGCGGCTGTGAGTCAGCTTTTTGGGCAGCCAAGTTTGATAATGACCATGATAGTGACTAGTGGATTTCCTAGAAAAGGTCAATTTCGTGCACTTCGATTTGTTGACAACCAGTCCATTAGATGGTGACTGTGATTGTATTCCCTTAATTGCAAGACCGTCAGCAGGCTGGTCGCCAATGGGCGAGATCAGGCATACGACAGCTGTGTCGTCTGCGTACTTGGTGCAGAAGGATAGTTTCCGTGTATGGACACTGTCTGTGGGAAAGGTAGGCACAACTGGTGATAACACTGAATGCTGAAGAACTCCGATTTTAAACTGAACAACAGCATCAATTTGTTCACTTCGTTCATCACGCCTAGATCGTCTTTGCCAGCTTGATCAGAGTTTACAGAAAACTGACGCAGTTCTTTTCTTCCGCTTCGTGGGTTTGCGCCGCTGAGGTCGCGGTGTGTTCCTCTGCACGGAAAACGAGATAACGAACATCGTCATAGTATTACAGTCAAAAACAGTCGGCGTTCGAGAAAGGTTCATGGTCGCCTTGGCCGGCACAATATGGGGCAGAAGCGGACGATTTACGGAGCTTACAACCAGCAGTTTTGGCAGGTATCAAAAATGATGTGACTGTGACTGCTGAGCACCATGTGTGACCTGGAGGAGAAGAACTATGTCTTTTCCGAAAAATACACCAACGCTAACGGTTGGTGCTGCTGCCAATAACAGTTGCCCTTGACTGGTCCGCAAGATTATACCTGTGCGCCTGGACGGTACAGTCGTATGCGAATTCAAACAACCAGGTAATACGCATATTGGCCGGTCGCTATAGAATTTCGAACGATCAGAGTCCGCCACCGAATATCAACGCCACAGCCCGCGATTGTGACGCCCAGGAATTGGGTCTGCCACTTCAAAAGTTCCACAGTTGTAATCATAGATGACAGTCGAGAAGAACCAGAGGCAAGACTGAACGAAAGTAAGGAAGAGTTGTTCAACACGTTTCCATCGTGCCACCAGAATTCTTCTCCGTACATTTGGACCGATTGACCCATACACAATTTTTGTTTACACGGAACATTTTTTCACTTCAGTCCTGAAGGTTCTCTATTACGATCAAGATTTACTGCAACGATGGTATTCACACGACTCGCGTACTAATTTCATTGCTTCTCTTACTCACGTCGGCTTTATTCGGTAGCGCGCACCATTAGATAATGGACGCGCAACGTTGCCAAAACCAAACGGTGTCGAATATTGGCTATAACTTCTAGCGCCACCCATTTTCAGGCCTCTGGTTGATTCGTCAGGTGAGATGTTACACACTCGTTAATGAATGCCAACGTCCGTGGCCATCACCCTGCTGTCTCTATCAACCGACACCTTTCGCGGTATCCGTGCAACATTCCTATCAGGCTCTTTAACTCTAAGTTTGGTCCATTCCACGTCAATAGTTCTGCTTGCCAAAGTTGCCCCACTTGCTACCGTCCATTCGTGTAATTCCTCATATCCGCCAAGGTTCAAATCTGACGCAGCAGTGAACTCCAAACTAATGGCGATTCAGTTAGATCGACAAACAATGAACGTTGAACACATAGAGGGTAGTGTTTGAATTTTTCCTGCAAACCATGCTGACAATGTATATTGCTCATCATAGCATCAGGTACCACTCCATAGGATAAATGCACGGTTCGTAACAGAATGACTTGGAAACGAAATCGATAGTGGCCAGAACATCAAAGAACAATAGTGATGCGTTCTTTACG